CATTGTTTTCGCTTTGTTTTCCCTACCCCAGGTAACTGCATGTATAACAGATATAACATCGAGAACAAGCTTAGCCTATCGAGAATCGAGTCCTGGATCGAGCTTCGCGAGACAGAAAACAAAAGATTTACCCATTACTGATTTCTCCGTAATTTTACATAGACATACAGCTGTAACACAACACGGCATGGTTTATTCGCACAAGCGACTGTATGCTCAAAACACGTCCAAGGACAAGGACATCTGTATCAAGCTTCATTTCTTTAAGAACGGTTTCAAATGCCTGCTCCAAATGCAAACAAACACATCATGTCTACTTTGTAACGTCAAACGATTCTGGGCTTATCTGGCCATCAGCAGTAACAAACACGTCTGACCGTAACATGACCAATCTTTGGCTCTGAAACTGCGTTCGCAATCCTCGAAAACTTTCGAGAATCAATACCTTTTATTCTACTAGGAAATATAGCGAGTTCCTTAAAGTTTGGGTTAATCTCTCGTAAAATTGGGCTTGTTTTTTTTTGTGATGGGACTTGATACGCGTGAACTTTTTCGTTGCCTAGCACGTGACTGCAACTACCATGATGAAAAATTGTGCGATATTTCAAAAGCGGATTGCATTGCACGAAATTATATATTGCTTTCAAAGCTCCGAAGCTCTTGGTGGTTTCTGAAGTTTTCTGAAGCTTTACATGTATAGTCAAATTGAAACTTTTATGTACACAATCACGTCTCACAAAAAGCGAAGGGCAAAATATCAAACTGAGATGCTATCGCAAATCACAAAACAGCAATTCAGGTACAAGCAATGTTTTCAGCAAACTAACACCCTGATCGTAGACACCAATGACCAGAACTTCAACTGTGATAATGCCGATGGACATTCACAAACAGGCAATCAAAAAAAAAAATGTCGGCAAGTTGAATTCGAAAAACAAGCCATAAGAACAAAGGCAATGAGAAGTGCCTTGAGACTTTGTTTACCCACCGTCTATCAAACATTTATTTACACAAACTTCCTTTTATTGTGGATTTGACAAATAAAGTCATGGACTGTTTTCAAGTTCAGCTAGTGAACTAACGACTTCGGCTATTTCAATGATGCAAAACGCCGTTCGAACATTTCTATTAACGTTTCGACGCAAAGTATCATCCGAGCCGTGCGAATCAATGCAAATTTCCTGAAGAGTTGTCAACTGTTACTGTATCTTGAATTTGCATAGTTCAGAAATTTCTCACAAGAATTGAACACTGAGTAGATTTTATTTACTATTTTTTAGAGTAGAAAGTTTTTCGTGACGTGAGAGAAGATAGAAGATTACTGAAAAATTGGTCTTCAAGTAATTTTGTGTCTGTTCGTCTTTCGTTCTACTTCGTATTGTGAAATAAAGCAGTCGATTACTATGTAGAATCAGAACCCTGTTTCAGTCTTCACCAAGGCTTGTGGATGTTGTTAAGCCTTTTGTTGCGGCTGTTGCGAGAACAATAACCCAAGAACAATACGCTAACTCATACATACTAATCAGTTCTGATGCAAGCCCGTTTTTGAAGCGCGTTAGGTAAACGGACTCGCCTTAACAAACTTCTCGCTAACTAGTTTGAAGCGCATTAACGTGGACGCTTATCTCTGAGCTGTACTGTAAGGACAAAACTGTGTTTGTTACCGAAAATTTCTAGAGTCAAAGTGACTCCCTCTGTAACCTCAGTGGAGTCATCTGAACAATTCTGGAGTAAAATACGCCAAATTTGGTGTATTTGCGAACCCTGGACAAATGATGAAAATCTTAGTTTCGATTTCTTGTTTTTATATAAACCCTCCACATCTTCCACCAGTATGAAATTAGTCAATGCAAGAAACAGTTCTTCTCCAATAGTGTCACAATCAAAATGACAACAAAACAATGATCAACAGCAAACGTTGCAATACGGTCAATGGTGAGTGCAATATGTACCACTCTTGAATACAATCATTGTACAAGTGCAAGGATTCATGAGGTTTTTCTTTTCCAATTAAATTCTATGTTAGATTCTGAAACCTGGCTATGGGCTCCCTCAGCGCCCCCTCCCCCCCAAAAAAAAACACTTGTTACAAATCTTGTTTAATTTCAAAAAATGATTTCTTACTCACCAACTTAAGATGCGTTTACTTTACTTTCCTTTGCACATTTTCTTCAACCAAGACTGATCAGGAATTGTAAGAGGCAGAAATAACTTGGCTGCTGTCAACAGAGAAACCCAGCAAGATTAATTTTTATAGATTCAGTTCAGACGAGCACGCTTTTTATACTTCGAGAATTTATACCAGAAAGTTGATGACTGTATCGATATGGCAGCCACACGGGCAAAATAGACATTTCACCGCTGTCAGTTTGACAGTTAATTGACATCTGGCTAAATGTTTTGCTTTTCTTCATTCTTTCATTCGCTCATTCATTTATTTTTACACTTGTTCACTGTCACCGTGAATGAGTTCATCAATTTATAAATTCACATTGTCCACATTTCGGCTAACGAGAAATCTCAATGCCACGAAATGCCTTCATTCATTCATTCGATGGTTCATTTCTTGATATGTAAAGTTCGCAAATGTACCTTTCAGAGCGCGGGAAAACTCGTTGAGATCTTGAGATAATGAAAAGCGATGAAATAAACATAGGAACCATCTCTAGACTCACCAAGGCTTTCATAATCAACTTATCCATTTATTGCCATATGGTTTGCATTCACTATTAAATCCATTGAGCGACAACCGTCGATTCCCGCGCGGGAATGCACGCGTTTCAAACCATTAAAAAGCAACTCAGGCCACTAGAATGGTACATTTCCAAAAGAAATGGTAAATAACATCATTTTTCGATCAGGACCAGCATTTTTAACAACATGTGAGTAATTTTCCCATCTCTTTCAAAGGATTTACGCTCCTTTTCACTGCCAACGTTTTGTGACGAGCTGTCAAACTTGCCGAGGCCATGGACTTCATTCAATACGAAAAATACAAGGTCAATTTTTCTCTTTCCTATCTAGATTAAAATCTTAAGCACTTACTTACAATTCTAGAAGCTTTTCGACTACCACAAATCCACATAATCCGCAACCTTTGGCGTGTTGAATCCTCTGCAACCGACGTTCCAGCGCTCTTCGCTACAGTTCAAAACACGTTACCTGACAGACAGCTGTCACACATTCTTCAAGAACGTCATTTTCCTTATATGGACCATGGGGGCGCACAGCCAGTTGTAGAAACGGAAGAAGTTTTGAAGTTTTGCAGTCAATTCGCTGGTAAATAAGAACTGCTTAAAAATTCTACGGCATCTGAACTCAGCTGCTCTAACTAACCGTACCACAAAAGGCTTTTGACAAGCGAAACCCCGCGAAATGATGATAACATGGTAATTCTTTTGATGGACAGCCCGAAATTCACATCGTGGGAACAGACTCTTTTGATTGGCTTATGGTATTCTGGCATGGGCTCAAGCAAAAGGCGTTGCTTAGGGAACGGAGGGTCTGATTTGGGTCTAATTTAGGCCCCGGTTAAATACCCAAGGGGCACTTCCTTATCTGGCCTAGCCAAGTAAGTGACGCCAAACTACCCGTAAAATTACGAAAATAAGCCCCGGGGATTATATTTTTCAAAGGCCCTTTTTGAGGGACTTATATTCGGAGTGGATTATCTACGGAGGGAAATTTGCGTTTCAAAATCGATTGGGCTAGCCTTATCTTGGAAGTAAATTTACTGTCTTTGCTTTGTTTTACTTTGTATTTGAGGGCAATTTTCCAAGTACAAGCCCCCGGGGGGCTTATATTTGGAGGGGCGATTTAACGGAGGGTTTTTTGCGTTACCGGTTTGGAGGGGCTTATACATGGAGGGGCTTATTTTCGAAATTTTACGGTAGTTTATTAAAGGCGTTCAGATAGTCATTTTGTGCGGCGCAAATCAGAGATAGCACGAGAAAGTACGAGAAGGGAGGGAGGGGGCGAACTTCATTCGCTCTCACCCCCTTTCACAACCCGCACTGTTTTTCCTGCTCACTTCTCCCTGCCCCTCATTGGCTCCTGACCGCCGGGTGCATTCAAGGGTCATAGGTATGTTTTTGAGACTGAAAATTGACGCCGAAAAAAAACTAATTGACTTTAAACTAAAAGCGCAGAGAAAGATTTCCTTAAGAAAGTGATGTCATTGGCCTTCAAGGAGTAGGTCTTAAACAGGGTAGTGAAACAAATAGACAGGGTCTTGGCGGCACGCCCCATCCAAATATTTTCTTAACATACCTCCCTCGACTCTGGCCTCGAGGTTCAGGTCAGGGCTATCAGCCAGCAAAAAAATTCCAATCCAGAAGACAAGTTTCAGGGAAACCAGTCGTATTGTCCATTTAATATAATTTTATATAGTCGGGTTTAATAGCATTGAACAGCTTTGAAACTGGGCTCTCAGTTTTCCGTTCTGAGTTTTCCAGTGGACTTAGTTTTTGCAGGAGCCGATTACTTAAGTAATCGGCTCCTGGTTTTTGGGGTGGTCCTATAGACGCGCAGCTGCGAGAGGCGAGCATAACGCGCGCTAGTCTCCTCCGCATGCGGGTCCAGAGGAATTCATTTTCGCGTGGGAACATCCAAATCTCTGTTTAAAAAAAAACACACTCGTCTGTATTAAAAACCTAGCCTACGTGTAGCCGCACCCTCTCCCCGACAAAGGAAAAACGGAGAGACGGAGCCTCTCCTCTCCCTCTCTCCGTTCTTCCTTTGTTGGGGGGGGGCGGTGCGGCTACACGTAGGCTATTAAAAACCCATTCACTAATATTACGATCGCCCTGTTATTGCGTTACATTTCCATTACGCAACATATATTCCGCAGATAGCTAAAGAACGTCTGCGGGGAGGCTAGGGACGGAGAGTAGTGCGAAATTCCCGCCTGAGCAGCTGAGGAGGGGATTATACAAGCACGTGCGAGGACGAATGACGTCAGCCCCTCCTCTCGGTAGAGCACCCCCGAGAGCACCCTCCCTACTTGCGTACTTTTTAGGCGTGTAATGCAAACGGTAAACCTCCGTGTATGGATGCGAGCAGTCTCTTATTTTTCTTTTTAGTCATGTACAGTAGATTGATATAGTATGTGTGAAAGGAGAATGGTGAAGCCGCGCCGCGCGAGGCGGGGGGCGGGGGAAGAAAGACGACCGCTCGCGGTCTAATCGGCGCAAAAACCTGCGCAGTTTTTCTAACAGCAACGTTATCACCCTGGAAGACAAAATACTGGTACAAAAGTATTTATTTCAATTTACTTAAGTTTTAATGGAACCATAAATAAAATATTCAACAAAAGGCCAATAACAGATACAGTCGAACCTGTATATAACGGCCCCGTATTCAGCGACCACCCTCTATTATATTAAGCGGCCAGTTTTCAAAGTCCCGATTTTTCGCTCAAACAAACGCCGTATTTGTTACCTGTATTACGCGGCCATGGCCGCGGCCACCCTGTAGAAGTCCCATGTTTGTCTTTCTTTGTTACCATTTACCTGTATTAAGCGGCCACTCATGGACGGAAACTGAGCCATATGTCATTTTATGCGGTATTTTATTGTGTTTAAAATGCGATCCATCATCACTATAAAGAAATAACATGAGCTACTGTAAGCTGATTCTCGGCCGTTTAGAATCGTTAAAGCCTGGTTTTCACTAGCGCATAAGCATAAGCATAAGCACAAGCACATGTGTAAGCAAGTGAAACTGGGTCGACATAAGCATAAGTATATAAACCGGTAAGCACAAGAAAAACGGACAAGCTCCTTCTTCTTGTACTTGGTGGTCTCGCGCCCTAATTCCCTTCCCGTTCCTTTTCGAACGCCTGCCACGCAAGCTACCTACATTTTTAAGCAGCCAGTTTCTCAAGTCCCGAGGGTGGCCGTTATATAGGTTCGACTTTATCAGCTTTTTAATTTCGTTGTTCAAGTAACAACAGAACTTGGCAACAAAAACTGTGCTATAACGCTGACCAAACCAGTAAGAGTAAATTAGCGAACAATTCTTGCAAGGACCACTTGGACAAACAACAGCGAGGGAAAGCCGGGTGTTGCTGTAGATCAGGATAAGAGATATAAAATAACACTCAAAATTGAAAGCAATGGCTGATCAGACATCTACGGATGGGTAATATATTTTCCCAATATTTTGGTTGATCAGGCAAAACTAAAAAAGAGTACCCAGCCGCTGAAAGAAGGTTGGTCATTGCCTAACTGAAATATTGAGAAAATATATAACCTTATTATAGAAAATTAACGATGCACGTTGACAACGGGAAGAAAAGTTACGTTACGCAAAATTAACGCGAGTTTTCCAAAAGTTAGGTTTACGTATGCCAAACCAAGGCGAATCTTTCGGAAACAATGCGCAGTATTTGGGCCGAGGTAGAATCTATAAAATACAAACAAATTTTTTTTAAATCTCGTTAATAAAGTGGCTCGTTAATTCCCTATAATAAGGTACCCATCCATACCTGTTCGATCAGCCTTGCCTAAGAGTGTTTGGGATGAAAAGTCACTAAATTTGCGTATTCAGGTGTCTGTTAGGGCTGTGCATATGAATGTTGCAATAAAGCTGCGATGTCTGTTCTTTGTATGGTCTCCTTTGTAGGTCAGTTAAAACTTTAGCCACACCCACATTGGTCTCCCTTACGGACTTAATGTTAGTTTTCCGACGAGCATCCCCATTTTGTTTATATCAGAGTCACCTCCGGGTCTCTCAGTGACTCAAATCACGGCCTTGGCGCTAACTTTAAATCACCCAGGCAGTCGAAAGATGTTTACTTTAGATACAGCAAAAACCGGCGTATAAGGACCTAAAATTTAAGAACCTTTTAGGCTAAAATTTTCATTTAAAAGCCCCTTTCTTCATAAGAACCTATTTACCCAAACATTTTCAATAGGTTCTTATTTTACAAAACTGAAGGCACAGATGAAATGTAACACAGCATTTTATGGACACTGCAGCATGAAAGACATGCATGCAAGTACTTTATAAAGATAAATTTACTGTATGGTTATCTAAACCGCATTTTAGATAATTATTTAATACGGGAATATATTCTATATCGCATATGCCCTGTAGTAGTTATCTGTGCTTATCGCTGGTGCCCCTATCAAATTAAGAACCTAAGTAGCCTAAAATCCCACTAAATACCATTTTTAAAAGAACCAATTTGGGCTATGTTTGAAAAATCTAGGTTCTTATAAGCGGGTTTTTACTTTACAATAATTACAACAGATGTAAGCAGGCTGAACACGTGCATACCGCTCCGCTCACTTGATTACTTGCTTTCTTGATCAATGAGTGGTGTATGCTCATTTGGTTCTTGTCTATATTGCAATTGAGGTTGAATCAACTTGCGAAAACGCTACAAAAAAAGAAGACAAAGTTCGATATGGTGAATATGGTACTACAATCACAATACACAAGAGTTTAATATAGTTTACTGATTGCTATGATGCAACAACAGTAAAGGAAGCAGTCGCCGTCACAAGTTATTGTCTTATTAGCCCTAGTGAGATTTCTTGGGAGACTGGGACGGTACCAATGTCAACTTCGTCCCCAGGCCTCTTCCTTAAGACCCTGGGGGAGAAGTTGGGCAGGTGGTGATGAAAATGACGTTTCAAACCTGACCATCCTTTCCAAATGAGGCCAACCAGAAGTGCAAAACGTTCTATAGTTATGTAGAAAGAAAGATACTCGATCTAAAAACTACAGTAAACTCTTTCTAATTGAAGCCATAAAACAGACCCCTAAATAACGAAGTCTTTGGTATAAGAAAAGATTTTCTATACCCCAGAAATGGCAAAATATTTGGAAAAGAACCTCGATATAACAAAACCCAGTTACAGCGAACAAAGGGCCCTTCGTTACATCAAGTTCCACTATAAAACCGACACTGCCCTGAAGTGGATATACTGACAAATATTAACCTCTTGGATTGACCCAGTGGTGTTGATCAGTTTGTATATCATCACCGTTGGAATTAAGGAGAGTGACGACAGGGTCATCAGCCAGCCAATCGCCTGTCCCCAGGCAGGATAAACGTAATCTCGATACTTGAGTGGTTGATACGTCACGAGGTAGAAGGCGAGCACAGTCTAAAAACAAGGGAAAGATAGTTAGCAATTGACCTCAACCAATGTTGCCTCCGGAGACGAAGCGGAAAAAAAACTGGAAAAAAGGGAAACGCGACACAGCTGCCAAAGCGATGTCAACCAGTGCCTAACCCTTTATGCACCAATATCCACATAAAAATTCTGCAGGCTGATCTCCATAAATTTCCTTAAAGAATAAGTTGAGAAAATTTGATAAAAGATTCAAGCAATTTCTCGTTGGTAATCTTAAGAATTCTCATAACCTTTCCTTTGGATAATGTATAGACACCGGTTAGGAGAAAATTTGCTTTGGTCACACTTGGGGCTTAAAGCTAAGGGGTTAAATGGCTTGTGCTACGTTATATTATGTTATGCATAGTTATGTTATGTATAGTTATGTTATGTTATGTTATGCTGTGTCATATTATACTTTCACGCTTTGCTCAGAACTATCCTTCACATTCACACGCGCCGTTCAGCCGCATTCTCGCCTTCCGTGCAAGATTATGAAACTTGGTCATAAGCAGACCATAGCAAGAGAGACATTCTCTCTTGACCATCGCTATTATTGTGAAGTTTTTAATATGGACACCATCAGACTTCCCTGTTCATGATGTTTTCGTTAACCTTTTTGAATTATTGTCCATGCACAACGTTCAATAGCGTTCTTATCATTTTGAACTGCCTGACCAGTAGGAACGTCATAATTAACTGAGTCAGCGACAACGCGCGAACATAAAAAACAAAGCGGAGCTCCCTAAAAGAACTGTGACACAGCTGCTTTTTATCTTTTCCGGCATCAATGACCAGTTTTTTCAACTAATTATGCTCAAGCAAGCAAAAGAAAATCGCCGTTGTACTGACCAAACAAAATATTGGTGAGAGATAACTCCAGCACCAGCCACACCAGGGACTGATAGTAAATCCCAACATACTCGCGATGTTGTTATAGAAACGTTTTCGACCTGTTGAGAGTTAAGTTCCAACGAAGGGATGTAAAAAAGTTCAAAATACAAAGGATAAGAAGTTGATTTTTAACACATCTTTCTAAGGCCCAGTTCAGAAGCCGAACTTTTCATGAGCCGAAACTCAGCTAATTCAAATTAAGGCAGACCCAAATTATTTAGACCAGCCGAATTGATTCAGACGCGGATTTTAATTCCAGCCGAACTAAATTCAAAAGGAGAAAAATATTCATTTCGGTTAAACTGATTGGAAAATACGTTATAAGAATTTATGCCGCATTTGGTTCGGTACATGAAAAGTTCGGCGTCTAAATCAAAGCCGTTTTTAAGTCGATCCAAAGTCGAAATTCCCAGCCGGGCTAGGCGGAAAGAACGGCTAGGCCGTTCCAAATTGAAACAGGCGTTCCTAATTGATTCAGACGCCGAGCATTTAATATACGTTATTCGAAGTATTAGGCTGTGCTCGTGAAAAGTTCTGTGACTGAATTGGGCCTAAGTATTTATTGATACGTCTTATTAAATGCACTGGAACCCAAATAATACAGACACCAAGGGGATTTGCAATAGTGTCCGTCATATACAAGGTGGGTGTCCGTACAGCGTGGTTTCTCTGTAAGAACAAAACAGCTGTCAGATCCGTTACAAATCCAGTGTGTAAACATAAGCGGTCATTTCTACGCAATCTACTGTTCTTTGTGAGTTCTCAACTCCTTCGACTTGATCCTTTATTTTAGTTTCTAATTATCCTTAATGCAATATTAAGGAGTAAAACAAAGCATCATTTCCTAACATTTGCTTCAGCTAGGAAAGAGCGAAAACAAAAAAGGACAACGTAACTATGGGTGTTCCAGTTCGGGTTTGTTTACTTCAATATCCAGCACACGGATCTGTAAAGAACTTGCCTCACCCAGCCACCAAAGCATCGTACTTTCCGTCCTGTCAGATGTAACTCTTACTCTCCCCTTGGGATAAAATTGCTAGTTCTCTCGGTCGCCCTCCCCCCCCCATTTCCCCCCCCCCCTAAAACAAGAAGGGAAGTAATTGGGTTCTTGCGTAAATGAAAAACATTGTCTCTTTTTAACTGATAAACCCTACGAAAATTCCTGAAAAGGTAAGAAACGGTCATGAAAAGAACACAATACAAAACAAAATGTAATGTTCTTTAATTTAGGTCGCTTTTTTTACCATAGTCGGAAACGCACACCCCTTCCCCTCCCTCCCCCCGCCAGCGAGTATGCTAGGAAGTCATCAGTTGCTTGTAAGAACAATTAAACATTTTGTTTGTTTTTCTTACCATAAAACCATCCAATGGCCAAACATTCACCAATGACTACTAACAACGCAACAGATCCGCTTCCAGAAAAAGCGTCAAACAACTGAAAAACGTACATTCCACCCTACAACAATAATATCATTACTTTGTAATGACTTCCGTAACCAGGTATATAGAAGAAGGTGTTGCGGATAAACTTAAAAGGACTAAAAAAAGTAAACCAAGATGGAAACCAATGATTATGTGGAAATCAGTCTATAGGGCTGTTTACACTTCATGGTCGAGTGTGCGATCATGTCCTGGGTATTGACACAAACTGGGGTTCAGACCTTGGGTACACGATGTAACTGTGTACAGAATTCCTGCATTTGGCCTTGTCAGACGCTGTTATATTTTGAAACGTTGGGGTAGCAGAAGGTTCTGGTATACAAAGCAGTGTATTGCCTCTAAATTGACAGAAAACGTGTGAACACAGCGATCCAGCGCCCACCCATGCACAGCAGTGGATGCTCGGTTAGTACCTGGCACCTTGACCAGGTGTCAAGTATAAGTTAAACCTCAAACATAGTTGTCACAAGTCAATGATTGCTATAATTATCTTCGAACAGATATTTCGGCATAGTCATTTCCATTGCTAAATCTTTTTTTATCGATTCTAGTGATTTCATGAATGTTTTCCTGCACACTAAAGAGATGTTATCTCAGACTGTTCGAATCCAGAAAAAGATGTCCCTGGCTCTTCTCACGAATAGTCTTCCTCGCGGTAGCCTACGAACGCACACGTATTTATGGTCGTCGCGCCTCTCCACCCGAAAAGTAACTTCTGACTTTACTTCTCGGTTTTTCGAACAGCCTCTTTTCGGGTAGAGAGAATCGAAGACCGGAAATACGTCAGTGTTCGTAGGCTCCCCTACAGCCGTGACGAGACAAAAAAGACTGCGAGGGAGACTACCTGACGGTAAACTGAAGGATGTTAAAGAACACCACGCAGGGTGTGTTTGATCCGTTAGAGGATAATTAACTGTGCTGAAGAACTCCAATAAGCTCTATCAAACAGACGATCGAGGAGATTGAAAATGGCACAAAAATTGTTTTATTTTGCGTTAAAGTTACATACCTCAGTCACCATGGACAGCCCCACAAGAAACATCAAACAACAGGTAATAAGTGAAAAAAGTTCTTTACGGTGGCCACGACGTAGTTTATGTGGGAACCTGTCAACAGTGCTTGTTATCGCACTTTCGACGTCAACAAACTGGAATAAAGAGCAAATGTAAATCTTAGTCGTGGGCCTGGTTATTCGAAAGATGGTTAAGTTTAACCCAGGATTGAGCCAAATTTTAAGCACGGTTTTCTTGTTTAAGAACATGTAACTCAAGCTTGCAAAATACTTAATAGTGTCGAGCCTTTACTCTGAGATACAGTAATGATAATACAAAATGTTACTACGGCTAAGCAATGCGCGGAGAGGTAGATAGAAAAAGGGAAAGAAAATGATAATCCTGGATTAGCACTAATGGGCCTTTCAGGAACCGGGCTCTGGGAGTAATATACTACTCTGCTTGCAGAGTCTCGTTCAGCCTGCGTGGCTGGTTTTCACATGACGTCGCTAAAATTCAAACTCAAAAACTATCCATCCCACCGAGATTTTACTTTCACGATGCATTAGAACAGCTGAAAACTAATTTTCATACAAAGTTTCGTTTCAAAAGAGTTCTTGGTTTTGTGAAAGGGTACGCTTGAATTTCTAAGCTTTTGCGTGACGCGGCAATTACATGACGGCCAAAAGAGCTGTCATGTAGGTAAAAAAAATGACTTATTTCAGAAAATTTTGCTATTTAAACAGTTCATGTATTAGAAAAAGTATTACTTTAATGTTTATGAGTTTCTCGAAGAATAAATTCACGCTTTTGTAGCAAAACTCGGTAACAGATGTTTCTGTTGGTTGCCGCCCGCCATGCTGGAGCTCATCCAGGTGAGCACCTCCATACAAATCTCTGTAAGTTTGGGTAAAACATTTCTTCGGATATCTCGCATTCGAATTATTCCTCTGACCTGAATCTTGGCGAGGGTCTTTGTATATGTAGCTCCTTTCATTTCCCAGATTCTGGACTTTATATGTTAAACGGTTTTGATTTTTATTTTGATCTATTTTGAATGGCGTGACGCTGAAAACCAGCAGTAGGCTCTTTGCACGACTTGCTCACGTGACCAACTTTCGGTAAACACGAAAACAGTTCACTTTTGAAAAACTTTGTTAGCACAGGCTGAAAGAGCATATTAAAATTAGGTAACCTGAGAAGTTTCAGCCGTATATCTCAAAAGTAGCGATTGCAACGGCCGCCGAAAGTTGGAAGCATTTGTATGAGATAAACAAATTTTGCCATCCAGTCACGCTTGCATGGTTTTCCATACATATATCTGTAAATTCTAAAATTTTTTAACTGTCGTTAAATCTTTCCTTTACGCATTTAAGGACTCAAATTGCCTTAATGAATTAAAAGGAGATTCGAGCCCTGTAATGCTTAAGGAAATATTTCATGACAGTTTTGAAAATTTCGAAATTACAAAGATTTGTATGGAAAACCAAACAAGCGTGACTGGATGGCAAAAGTAGTTAGTGGTAGGCTTGAGCTATTGCATTTAATACCCGGTTCCCCCGGTTACGAAGAACCAATGGAATTTTATAAATAATAAAAATTGAGGATTTCTTTAGGGGTGGAGTAAAAAAAAAAGTGATACTTTGGGGGTGAAACTATAAATCTCAACAAAATCTTTAGGGGTGCACAAGGCAACATCACCTTTTCACAAAATCTTCAGGGGTAACCCCATATTCTTTGGGTGTAAACTCCCGGGGGCGGGAGGGTACTTGAGAAATATTTATACGGGGAAGGTCCACCCCGAGGTTCAATCCCCTTACCCTTTAATATACCATTTTTTCACGAAAAAGGTACCCCTTTTGCATATTTTCTATTGACAAATGGTACCTCTTTCCTATACCTTGTTTAGAACTTTGTAACCCTATTAACTGCTGTAAATGCAATGTCTTTTAAATCACAAAAATCGAACGTTTTCTCGACTTCTTAAATCCATAAAATTCATCTGCTAGCCATTTTGGGCCCTTTTACAGACCCAAATAACAGATTTCGCTACCCTTTTATAAACTTCAACTGGTGAAATTCCTACCCCTTGAAGCCTGAAAAAGGTACCCCTTTCGTGCGGAGCCCCCCCGTATAGGCCATCATAGGGAGTACCCCGGTGGCGAGACCCTTGTCTTATGGAATTCTTTAGGGGTAAATGCAGTTTTACAGAATTATTCGAAGGGTAAGAAGAAACGGTCCGTCTTCAACCGCGAGGGTACGGATATTAAATGCAATAGCCCTTTGAGTACCCTGAACCCATCATGACTATGTCCCTCCAAAGAACGTTGAAATCATTACACGACCACAGAGCTCGTAACAGGCTTAATTTTCAATGTTTAAATAAATAGAGGAGATAAGGACTTAAGGATACTGTGAACTTCCGTTAACGTTTCTATTTGGATTTGTTAATTAGCGTGAAAAGGCTTTTTTGAGCGACGCACGCCGACCGATGGTCGGCCCTTTTCCCTTTTGATATGCCATGAAGCTTCTAAATTTGTATTGCTAAGTGTCTTTAGTCTTACAGAGACGGTTTACTCGAACATTAAAGCAGAATATTTCCGAACGCAGCCGTGTGGGTTGAGTTATAGATCTTTTTCACTCACGCAGTCAGCAGCTATGCATTTTGATGGAACAAAAGAATGGCCTCTATTTTTACGCCATAGTGGATGTCCACCCTAAGTCTTATTTTAAATTATGAAATGGTAACTGAAAGATATATTGATGGCTTTGTTTCTTTAACCTTACTTGAGTGTCCAGTCCAATCAGGAGCAACATGAAGAAAAACAACACGGACCACAGAGGAGCTAGCGGCATCTGGGCAACTGCTTCAGGATAAACAATGAAAACAAGGCCTGGACCTAGAGTCGAATGAACACACTGTATTGTAACACATACTGCATATGGTGAATGTTAGCGGAAGCAATTTTATGGTGAAAAAGTTTCTTAGTAGTCGATTTTTTTATTTCTGGCGATTAGCTACCCCTGAGCTCTAAAAAGTTGGAGGGAATCTTTTAACAATAAAGTCTTATAATTAAAAAAAGTTTCAAAATAACTGGTGATCTATTTCACTTGCTTTTTTTTCATTTATGGTAGCTAGCATTATAAGTTTAGTCTCTTGCAAGATTGCCTTGTCTAGCTTTCTATCAACGCAACATTACAGACAGGCAAAGACCTTTTCTTCATTTTTTAACGTTAGCTATGCGTGTTTTTGGAGAGATTTAAAATCACGTTTTGGACAAATTTCAAACGTCAACGTTGCTGTCAAAAGTCAGTTACTGTTCATTATGTCTAGACAAAAATAAAAAGTTTTGATCTGTTTATTCCAGATCTAGATTTACGTTTAGGGAAAACGAAAAACGTCAGATTCGGGTTGAGAAGAACTCAATGAAAAGTCTCTTATGAAAAAGACTGGCGTGAGTATACCGATTTTCATGTAGTTATAACGAACAGTAAACGACAAGTGAAGGAAAACTTTGGTCACGTGGCAAAAAACAGCGGTGGTAAACATTGTAAATCTACGTATTTTTATATCAACTTGACGTTTCGTATGCTAACAAAACTTGACGTTTCGTATGCTACTCAAAATACATTTTTGACTGTGACCGATCAAATTACGGCACCTGTGAAAATGTGACCCTAAATCTCTCTATCAACTGTATAGTCGCCATCTCTAGGGTTCTTCGGTGAAATTGCAAAAATGCAACAACTGGTAGGTATATTATGAGGAAAAGCAGCAGAATCACACTCACCTGACTGAACAACGTCTTTAACATCTACTCCTTGATTTGTTGCCATGAAACCCAACACGGAGAAAGTCAAAAATCCACCCACAACACTAGTTCCGCTGTTGTAAAAAGCATTCCAAATGCAGTCTCTGCAAAATTAAGATCGAGAAGAATAAGGCAAACTCTTAGCAATAACTGTTAGGTGCTACCCTTCGATCTTCCTAGATGAGTCCTCTTCCCAAGTTATCAAGGAAGATCAAAGGGCCTCTGCTCCCAGGATAGTTAGGTGCTGGATTGGATTCACGAGCTGGAGAGAGAACGACGGAGGGAAAGAAATAGGCAACGCGGAATGTACAGAACAAGGTTTATCTTGACCACGAAAATTTGTGTTACCATGATCATTCTGTTGGAAACTCGGGTAATTTCGCCCGGTTTTAACAAGGACGGTATCACGGGTCGAAACGTCGCGTTTGATCACCTATGATTCACAGAAGATCGTTGTGACGATGTGTGGTTTAGACACTGCAGCGAAGCGTGGCAAAGGTAATCAAGTGCTTGTGGAGTCTAATCTATCGTAAATAAAGGTATGAGATACATTTGAGGCGTAGAAAGGTACCTTTGTACAAATCTAAGCGATATTTGACACCTTTGCGTCGCCTTTAAACAACGTCGTGATATCAATTTTTACGATAAGCATAGGCCGCTTTTCCCACCTAGACCATATGTAAGGGTGAGGGGCAGTGATATTTTTGGAGTAGTTGAGCTTAAGTTTATATTCTGTTGATGAGACTCTCAGTCCCTCGCAGCACTGTCTAGAAATATCGCAAGTTTGAAATAAAGTGTTGACAGGCTAAACACGACTCGTAAGCTTGTGAGTGTGTAAGGCTGATTATAGGCTTTTACCGATAGTACTAGCACTTTTTTTGCATTATTTGGCTTCACGAGCATTTTTTTTTTACATTTTATCCCAAAAAGCACTATTAGCATTATTTTGGAGTTTCGACTGATTATCTGTATAATTTTGTGTTAAAAAGCACAATCTGACTTTATTTATGTCGTCCAAAGCCGCATTTTGCCCTTATTTTAGTCAAAGGAGCCGAGGAGGCCTGGGGAATAGGTTTGATAGATCAGCGGTTGCCCTTTAGAAACCTAGTCCACACTCGTTCCAAGATGGCGTCATCCACGTTGTCATCGAGGAGCCAGCCAAGGCAGAGATAGCTCGAGAGCGTACTCTGCCATTTGTTGTTGAAAAATGTAACTGAAAATCTGAAAAATGTAATATTCTATGTTTAAAAAAATCGGAAAAAAGTGATCATTTTTATGTAACCCACGAGCACTTTTTAAAAAAAAATTAGCATTATTTTAGCACTTTTTTTGGCAAAAAAACAAGCACTGCTTTAAGCACTGTAATGCTTTTTTTACGAGCACTATCGGTAGGAGCCTAGCTGATTAGCCTCATCACAGGCAGACCATCCTCTATCTGTGTGGCGTTTATTGGTCATAGGAATCTGCGCATCGATCTTTTGTACTTTATAGAAAAACGTACTTTCAAATCTTTATTTTGGGGAAAATTGTAGCCACCGAAATGTTCATCTGTACTTCTCCGTACAAAAGATCAATGCTCTGATTTCAATAACAAGAACAGGCACACGGACAGAAAATGGGTGTCCCTGTGGTCACAGTACGATGTTAGACACTTTCAGGAGCCTATGACTTAGACTCCTGACATTGATAGGCTCCTGACATTTTTTAATCAAATACCGTACTTGTAAAAGTTGTTGTTGTATTTGTTAAAGCTTCCCAGTGTCAACAAAGCGCTCGTTCCAATACCGTACGAGAAAAACACTTGAGTACCCGCGTCAAGCCAAACCTGTAAAAAACGGTTAAAAAGATTCGGTTAGGAATTGAAGCGTCAGCACAAATCATGGAAACCGATGGGACAAATAAATAGAGAACTTTAGATTTGAGGCTGAGAACGACTATGAGAACAAGATTTCGCCACCCTTAAAATAAATATATAAATATTCCTATGTTTGAACCTGGATGAAGCTGTCACCGGACTAATCTCCCCGATTTTAAAAATACATGGAAAGTTAGTAAAATTTCGATAAATATCCGATAAATATTGAACGGCTTCACCACGTGGATGTAGCCTTAAGATGACTTTAAAACTTTACGGCACGGGAAAGATTGTTTTAAACATATATAATTTATACTAAGGGTGCATTATCTGTCTGGACGAACTTGGGAAAACATTTGTAGTTCGTCTGGTTATGCGTCT